CTAAACCCAATTTCATTCCCCTTGATGAACTCTTCTTCAAGTAGCTGACAAGGAAAAAGATCCAAATGAACCTAGGGTGAATTCTTTTAAAAGCCCTTATTTAAAAACATTGAAGAAAGCTATGAAAACAGTTCAGCAAGGCCCTCATCAAGGCCCAAATACAAAATAAAGATTGACCCTAAATACAGCTAAGCACTCCCTGATCCAGCCCCATCCCACGCAAGCCTCAACCACTGCTGGCTGATCATCTTCTTCAGCTTTCTCCTGGCCAAGGGCTTAGCTCTACTGAAGTGGCCCCTCAATAAAGCCATGCCCTTGAATAAAGCTAATGAACTTGTTCTCTGAATGGAATGCGCTGATTCTATTGTGTTGTAAGTCTTCTCAATCTAACCCCAATTTCATTCCCCAATCTCAGCAATGAATTAGGTTCCCAAAGCCCATGTCCTTAGCTTCCCTTTTTCTCTTCACCATTGCTTAGCAAAAAGGTGGAGAAACATGGAATGGCATGGGGGGTTGACCAAATGTATGAGCTTGCTGGCGCTTATGCCACTGCATGGGCTAGCTGGCTTTGTATTGGAAACTTTGGCATGGGGGTTGATTGCACTGATCTTGAACCTCAATGCTGGGGCTCACAGATCTGACTTTGTTTGATTCCTGCTCATGCAGCATGAACTTCCTGCGCATTTGAACATGTAGAACTGTACTATATAGTAGGTACTCAAAAAACAAAAGCTAAACACAGGCTCACCCTAAAGTAGCATAAGCCAAATAGAACTAGATAGGGCTAATGATCTAGCTCTCTTCAACCCCATGGAGGTGCACTCAATCCCACTGCCTTTTTGCAAGGTTGCTCATGTGAGCTCATTGCCTCAGTCCTGATGCCATCTAGTGCCACCTCATGACCAGCTCATCCACTTCCATGTGCCCTGATGCTTTGCCTCATCCCTCCTGAGATGTTTCCACACAAACCCGCTGAATCTTTTTGAAACATCTAAAACTAATCACTGCAAATAAAAGTATAAAAGAAGGAAACTAATCACTGCAACCAATCTAAGTCTCATGAAATCGATCTTCTCAATCTCTTTCTCAATGGACCATGATGGCCCACTCTTCACCTTCAGGGCCTCCCAGTTGCTCATCTCCTGCTTGTAGTGCTTATAGAGCTTCCTCAAGATAGAAGTGGCCAACACAAAACATGGGATGCAATAATCCTCTACATGTTCAAACCTCAATGAAACAATTCAACTATATAGATGTTCAAACCTTAATGCCAAAACCTGCCAAGTTTCATGAGCTGCTCATGGCGTGCTGCTGTCATCCCATAGCTGATTGGCAGCTTGCTCCATGGTGCGCACAGCTCCAAGAGATCTTTGTCATCCATGTCCTCAATGGGTTCTTTGCAACTATCCCCATTGAATAGTTGTTACTTATCCCAACTGATCCCAAACCAAAAACTTTACCCAATAAGGCAGAAACAAGTCTCTGGATGAAACTGCGCCATCTGCCACTCATCCCTGGTGCTGTTCTTCATGACAGTCTCCTCATACCTGTGCTGTTGATTTGCCATCACTACTAATCAAGTTCTTTCTTTCTATACACCAAAAAACATAGGAAAATGTACTTAATTAATTATATATCCAATTAATGAAAGTTTTGATGAGATACTGCTGGGTCTTCATGCCAGCCTCCTGCTTGCAGACCTTCCTGATGAGCTGCTGATACCTGATGATGTTTCCCAATGGCCCTAAATGCAAACAATTGCTTCAACCAAAAATTTAAAAAAAAAAGCATCCAAACCAACCAAGTTGCTGCGTCTGGAGCTTCATGTCCAACAGAACCTGCCTGATGGTCATGTCCCACTCAGCTTGATAGGCCTCTCCTCAGCTGTTCATGTAATGATGCATGTTCATTCCTGGTCCCAAGAACTAATTAAAAAGAAATACAAAGCTTGTCCAGAAGCATGCAAGCCTCTGCTCATGGCCTCTGATGGGAGAGGCTTCAGCTCTGAGATCTGCTGCTCCAGGATGGCTGGATCACCAAGCTCATCATCAAACCTGGGCATAGGGACACCACCCACCAACCCCACCACCACAGCAGCAACAACAACAAAAAACAATCCCTCCCATGAAAGCAAAGCAAAACACAAAGCATACAAATTCTACCCAGGAACTCCTCAATCACATGCTTCATGTGCCTGGATACATCTCTGAATTGGCCTCCTGACTTATCCAATCCTTGGGTTGCTGCTGCTCAATCTGTTTTAAATTGCTTTCCTTATGCACTAAGTAGCTAAATTGTTTTACAAGAACTAATTAGCTAATTAAAAACTTGTGAAAAATCATTGTGGCTGAGCTGCGCTTCTCCATGTAGGTGCACTTCTGGCTGCATACCCATGTGAGATCTTCCAGGCTGATGGTCTTCTGATGGGTCTGACGGATCTTCCACATCATGAGAATGATCACCTAACTAAGATCAATGCTTAGCTGGTCCAACCACCTAATCACTACATCATGCATCTACCACCTGACTAAAAAAGTGTTAATTAGCTATCTCTACCATATGCCAAGGCACCAGGTGATGCCAGTGCGCTGATGCCAGCTGCATGACCTGCTCCTTGATCTCATGCTGATTGTATCCTGATGCTCCTGATTTGCAAAACCAGTGCCACCCAGATCTAATTAGGTGCTATTCTCTATGTGGGCCATTAAAAATAACAAAAATAAACATGTACATATATGTCAACAGAAACCAAAACAACAACAGCAGTCCAATCTAGAAACTACAAAAGAAAAGATAACATAAGGTTCATGTTCATCTAAGATTCCCATCTTCCAGCTGGCTCCAATGGCCAGGATGACCACCAAGATGTGCTTGATGTTCTGGATCTTCATGGCCATGATACCTTGGTGGGGATGAATTCTTCTCAATACAGCTAATCAAATCCAAAAAAGGCTTCAAAGCAAAACAACAAACTATATAATTATGTATCAAAAAGCTCAACCAATTCAATTCCCAAACAAGGTGCTGATGGCTGATGGCAAGCTTATGCAAATGCGCTCTTTGGTCACTGATTGAAAGCTGCTGCATCAGAGCTCCATGGTAATGCTGCAATTCCTTGTTTGATGCCCCCTTTCCCTTATGAAACTAATGAGTGCTTCCCACCCCTGATTGTTCTTACAATGCTGGATGCTCCAATCAAATGCGCACTCCCTCATGACTAACCAAACTCTATGCCTCTTCATACCTCATGGCCTCTTCATGCAAAGGCTCCCTTCTATCACCCCTCCATTTTCAACTCTCAATTGAAATCTCAATGTGAAACTCAGGGTGATACTGCAAACCTCAATCCAGGCACTACTCTCATGCTCCTCCTTTGTCTTTGCTTCATCCACCTGCATGGCTGCTGAGTGAATGATGGGCTGTCCTGTCTATGTGGCCCTACTGGGTTCTTATGTGATTGACACTTCAAGGACTCAATGGTTTCCCAATGGTGTTCTCTACCCCCATTATGTTCATGTTGAAGCTCATGGAAACAAGATGCCAGCCAGCCTGATGGTGAGCTGCATTGCCACCCTCCTCAGCTTTCTTTCCTTCATCCACCTGCATGTTTGGTGAATCAAGGTTCTCCAAGCTAATGGCCCCTCATGAAATCAATGCTTCAAAGACCCATCCTGGTGCTTTATGAAACTCATACCCAATGGCCCCTGTCCTGTATGCCCACCCCAAAGCCCATGGAAAAATGCAAGCCTGATGGGGAGCTGCATTGCCACCCTCCTTCTCATCCTTCTTTCCTTCATCCACCTGCATGGTTGCTGAATCAATGCGTGGTTCTCCAAGCTAATGGCCCCTCATGAGATCCATGCTTCAAAGACTCCTTTTGGTTCTTTTCAATCTCATACCCAATGGCTCCTTTCCTATATGCCCATCCCAAAGCCCATGGAAAAATGCAAGCCTGATGGGTAGCTGCATTGCCACCCTCCTTCTCATCCTTCTTCCCTTCATCCACCTGCATAGTTGCTGAATCAATGTGTGGTTCTCCAAGCTAATGGCCCCTCATGATCCATGCTTCAAAAGGCTCAATCCATTGTTTACCAAATTCAAACCCAATGCCCCCTTTCTTTTATGCCCATGCCAAAGCCTGAGGGGCATCTTCATTGCCACCCTTCTTCTCATCCTTCTTTGCTTCACCCACCTGCATGGCTGCTGAATGACTGCTTGGCTCTGCCAGCTAATGGGCCCTCATGAGACCTAATTATACTCCAAAAGGTTCAATCTATTGCTTATCATTTTCATACCCAATGGACCCTTTCCTATATGAAAAAAGTTACCAGCCTTCTTGCCCTTCTTGGATGGATGGAGAACTTGATCCAGGTCTGATCCTGCAAGGCATGGCCAGGGGCTGGAGGGAATGGTGGCAGGGAACCTTACACCACCACACCCACCACCACCCAGCCAGCAATAGCAGCAGCGCAGGCAGCAAACTGATGCCCTTCTGATGGTCCTGCAAACTGATGGTCCTCTGATCTCTGCTGGCTGATCCTGGTGAGGATTCCTGCTGAATCAATGGGTCCTCAATGGATTCCTTTCTTCTATTCCTTTCCTTTATAGATTCTTATACAAAAGGAAAAATCTCTACCAATACTAAACAGTTGAAAACAATCTTTTTATCTATTTGAGGTCTTTCAGGGGGGGGGGGGCCTAGTGATTAATCAGAGGTTGACATTATAAGTTGAGTCAGTAGCGAGCCATGTGGAAGCTTGGCCCACACGAGTCTTCTTTCAAGTTCATTGAATGGTCTCCTATCAAGGATAATCCTATCGCTGGTGGCTTTATGGTCAACCGCGAAAAGCCCCCCGGTGATGGTCCGGCCTGCGCTGTCTTTCAATCCTAACTCCTCTGGAATTAAAGTCGCCACCCCGCTGCCTAACAGTTTTTGGTTAACAGCTTCCATGTCATGTGGTTCGACCTTGAAACATCCAAGGGTCGGGAACACAGGCTCGGTGTCCAGAGGAACTGTCGTGGCCATGCTATTGAAGGCTTCGAGGCGCTGACCTTTCAAGAACCGACGTGGTTCAATGATGCCAGCTGTTTCAGGAAGGGACATCCTTTCCGGCTTCACGTTCTTGGCTACCCTTGAAAGCTTATCTAAGGCCGTGTTGCTGGTGTAGTCTGAATTCCGGACTGTCTTTACTAATTCGCTTAATTTGAGAATGCCGCGGCTTAAAGAAGACTGATCTACTGAAGGCGGACAAACCTATTAATTCCATCGTGCAATGAGCCGGCATATGTCGAGTGCAATGACGTCCAAGTGTTGCAGGCTGCCCTGGACAGGAGACGTTGCTGTGCTATGGACGAACACGGGCTACCTCCATCAAGGAATGTGAAATAAGCCCAAATCATTTCTACATAGCGCCATGTCTCATCCCGGCCTCGTCTCCTCGCCCTCCTACGAGCGCTCTTAGACTTACCAATGCATGCTGGCAGAACTAATAGAGACGGAAAGAGTTCTGTCCCCCTGATCGGATTAGGGGGTGTTTCTGGCCCCAACCTCCGGTTTAAATCGGAGGACTTCAAAAGTTTCCAAAAACGACCAAAAGAGCCCCAGCTACTTTCGAAATCGTCTATGGCTGGCATAGTGCTGCGACCGTCTGTTGCGGCCTCTGACTCATCTGCGGGTCTGCTACGGGAGCTCAAGACTCGGTCTGGTTCTTGTCTCTGTCCCTGTCTTTCCCCTTGCCTTTCTTGCGGCCTTTCCCTTCTTTGTTCTCTTCTGCGTCGCTTTCGCCTTTCCCACTGCCTTTCCTTCTGAGGCTGTCTGTGGTCTTTGCTAACTCGTTCATGCTGCGAAGGTAGGATGTCACGTGTTGCAGATTGTCGGGATCTCCTCCGAAAAGCTTTCGCTTGAAAGGATCTTCGACGTGCGTGAGGAGCCACGCAACTTCCCACTCGCCGTTGTCGAGCGACGCCTGGTGCACCGCTTGCAGTGTCAGAACCGTTTGCAACGCTGCCCGTTCGGGCTCTTCCCTCAGAAGATACTCTAGTATTGTTGCCAGAAGGTAGTGGACTCTTTGGAGATTCTTCTCGCGCCCAAAGTGGATTCTTCTGGTGTAGTCTGTCAACCGAAACGGTTTGTCTTGGGCACCCAGCTCCTCTTCGACCGACTTGGCAAACCTCCGGACGTACTTCACAGGATGGCGGAACATCTTTTTGCCAGACTTCCGGTAGTTGTACACCGCTTTGGAGTGTCCTTTGGCAGCACGGTCGTCTGACTTGCCGCTGCTGCTGTCTGAAGAGCTGTCCCGATCTCGGCTCCTGGAACTGCTTCTGTCCTTCTTGCTCTTGCGTTCTCTTTTGAGAGATTGCGCAAGCTGAAGGGCCAAGAGACCTTGGAGCGGGTCTCCAGTTTGCATCGCAGCTTGAATCATAGCATCTTGTCCTTGGCGGCTTGGAGTCCCGCCTGACTTCGATGCCTTCTTCTTTTCGATCAGGGCAAAGCGCCTTGACCGATGCTTCGAGGAAGAGGCTCTGTCCTGAAGCTTTCGAGCTTTTTCGTCTGCAGTACCAGATCCTAGCCAGCTCTTTTTGAGCTGAGTTGTCAGATCCTCGAGCTCCTCGCCCGAGCTTTCCTCTGACTCCGAATCTGCTGCTTTTGCTTTGCTGCGAGCTGCAGCCCGACGTTCTGCTGGGTCGGATGCTGTTGCATAGTTCAGATCCTCGTCTGAAGTCATCAGAGCTTGAAGACCTAGTCTGAGCAGGTCTTGAGCTGATGCTCCTAGGGGCATCACTTCTTCGTTCACACCGCTCAGCAACTGATGAGGCATTGCTTCGACCAGGCAAAATGGCTGATCTTCCTTTTCCACGCTTGACAGTGCAGTGAGCTCCAACTCCTTCTTTGAACACCTTACCAGAGCTTGCAGCCATGGTTTTTGAATCCCAACCACAAGAGCTTCGCGCCATCTAGGCTCATCAAAACCTTGTCCAAGTTGAAGGACTCCTTTACTCCCGGGCTTCAAGGTCATGGGTGAAGGTCCAACCGAAAATGCGCTCGCCTAGTTGGCGAGAGGTCCCAGTCGCGGGCCTCTGTAGCAAAAGCTGCTGAGGCTTCGGCCCTAGTGTCAAATCTCCTAAATCTGATTCTTCTGAACTCGCCTCGGTGCAAATGGAGGATGGCACTGTAGGCCAGGTTCTCCACACCCCAGTGGACACCAGCAATGCGCCACCTTTGGATTCCCGGAATGTGCCAAATGGCGTACCACCTGATCTCCTGCCGTCTGTGGGTGGCAACAAGCCCTCTCTTCCAAAGTAGGATCCCCTTGCAACCGGCAGCACCCAAACGTGTGGATCAATTGGTGGTGGTCCCAGTTCAGTTTCCAGGTCACTGTCCAGCGGCTCTTCCTCAGAATCAGATGACCACAATTCGATGACGCGTGGGCTCTCTACCCTAGGCTCAAGCAGCTGCTGTCGCGCTGGTCGAAAAAGCGACAAACAAAATCGCACCAGCCGACAAATGCAGCTCATTTGACCCTGATGAGCTGCAGTCATGGTCAAACATGTGAGTGGCATGTTTATATCTATATATATATACTTATTTAATGGCTTTGTTCGCATAAACTAACTTCAGCATCTTCAGCCCAGCCATGCCTAGCCTATCGGCTGGCTTTTGTAACTTTTGGTATACCATAATATACCACATGTATTCTGGATGCCCTCTGCACTTATAAAGGTCCAGCTCATGAGTTTCGCCTCGCAATGCTGCCATGGCTCTATAGGTCTTACAACTCCAAACTTTGGCAGTCGCATCACCAGATGCAGAGGCCAAGCGTGTGCCATCCGCTGAGAAACTGATGCTGAAAACTTTGCCGCTGTGGCCCTGCAAGGAAGCTCGTTGCTGGCCTCAACCGAGATTCCACATCTGTCGACACAAACTCTCCATATCTCTCTCAAGTCTCTCCAAGGTCTCCCCTCCATGACTTTTCTTGCTACCATTGCGGACACGGACATTGCAAGGTGCAGCCGGCCCTTCCCGCGTCCCGCGTTCTTGAAAAGTGCAAGGTAGCTATTCAAGGCTTGTGGCTTGTGTTTTTTAAAGGGGTGTGCGCAAGTGCTGGCGTGCCCACTGGGACCGGTGCATGAGTCTGGGTTTGCATCTCTACTGGTGAAGCACCACAAAGGCCATACTTTCGGACCAACGCTTTTGGTTTGGGTGATTATATCGCCACACATGGATAATCGGACCTCACGACGACTCGATTCCCGAAGTGGATTATGAATTGCTGTGAATTCAGCTGGTGAGGGCCACTAGACTGTCTGTCGGAGCACAGGCTGGGGTCGTACGTATATACATGCACTAGAAGTGATTCGCCGCGCCTCTCAATTGTGCAACGTATTCGGTGGTTTGGGAAAAATCGCATAGCAAAAGCGAAGCTGCGAACAACACAGGGTCAAACTTCCCGTGCGTGGTTTGCCTGCCTTCGACTAAATCCCAAAGGATCACCATCCCGTTGGCCAGTGCGACCGCCAGTTCTTGCCGCGCCGGATGAAAGCACAACGCGAACGCATCTGCCTCGTGCATCAAGCGTGTCTGCAGCTCCTCCAGTGACGGCATTGAATGCTTGGCTGAAGTCCTATTGCTCCAAATTACGATAGCATAAGGTAACATTATTTGCTTATCATCTTTCAACCATGAAGCTCAACAAAAGATCCCAAAGCTTCAAGCTCAAAGGAAACATTGGCAACAGCGGACCAAGAGTCTGCAGTAAGACCTGGTCTTGAAATCGCCCACACCGAAACTTCTCGGGTGCGGAATGCGATGGCAATACGCATGCCATTGGAAGAGAACATGACGCAGTTGATCCGGTGAGGATGACTGCCAATGGTGCATGATCTGGAGAAAGTTCTTGAATCCCACAGAATGACATTCCTGTCGTCTGAACCAGTGATAATTTCGGCATCATCTGGAGAGAAAGCAGCCCAAGACACATCCCTGCGATGCCCTCGCAATACGGAAAGGCATTCACCAAAACTACCAGCACTCCAAACCCGGGCAGTTCTGTCACTGGAGGCGGACACCAAGCGACTACTATCCCCTGAGAAGCTAACGCAGTGGACGCAACCTCGGTGTCCTCTTAGCGTTAGACGCCATGCTTGCCGCTGCGTGCTCCACAACCTCACAGTATGGTCAGAAGATGCCGTTGCAATTGAAGAACCGTCAGGAGATAGAGCCACAGATATTACCGACAAATGGTGGCCAAAAAGAGATTTGCACCATTCACCAGTATTTGCATCCCACATGGCAACGGACCCATCTGCACAGCCTGTGATCGCCCAATCCCGGGCTGAGATAACAACGGTTACCTCACAAGGAATATCGTCACAATCCTGAAGCTCAGCTCCACCAACTGCAAAAAAAGCGCAAGCTGCGGTCTGCTTCAATGCTGGCCTGGCAAACCATTTTGGGTTAGAGTGTCTATCAAGCATGCTGTGAATCTAATGCTCCGACAACGACGACGACTTCTAGTGTACTAGTACTACTACTACTCTTCCTCCCACTATTCTTACCACTACCAGCACCACCACCACCACCACCACCACCACGACGACGACGACGACTACTACTACTACTACTCCTACTCCTAAGACTCCTACTCCTACTCCTACTCCTACCTACTCCTCCTACTCCTGCTACTCCTACTCCTCCTCCTACTCCTCCTACTCCTCCTACTTCTCCTACTGCTCCTACTGCTCCTACTACTACGACTACTACTACTACTACAACTCCTACTCCTACTCCTAAGACTCCTACTCCTACTCCTACCTACTCCTCCTACTCCTGCTCCTCCTACTCCTCCTACTCCTACTCCTACTGCTGCTACTGCTCCTGCCACTGCTACTGCATGCTACAACTACGACTACGACGACTACTACTACCAACACCACCACCACCACTACCACTCTACTACTACCACCGACGACGACGACCGCCTACTACTCCTACTCCAACTCCTCCTGCTACAGCACTTAGACGAACGTCCAAACTGAAACAAGTCAGTGGATCTGGAGCCAAGAAAAAAAAACACTGAGCAGATGGAAGGCCACTGCTTCGCGGACAAGTGATCTCAATCCAACAAGGCTAGGTGGAAATGCCAAGCCAACTTCTGTCAGGAGTTCGCCGCTCAATGAGTAACATCTGACCTAGGTTCACAAATGGAAAAAGAACTGCAGCAGTGACGACGACGAGGACGACGAGATACAAACAAGAACTGCAGCCCAGTCCACACACATTTTATGACTTTGTCTCTACCATGAAGTATAAACATTAATAACAACAAAACATCGAAGAACAACCGACGGGTTCGAAAAAAAGAATATATGTGTTTGACCGTTTTCATGAGGAAACTTCCTTTGCTTTGTCGTTGCACATGGAACTGTTTGCAAGGCGGCATTTAACCATGCCAAGTCACTTTGACTTGGATACTTTTTGGACTTCTGGAACGTTCCAAGCGCATCGTTGAGCTCCCACGACGAATTGAAGGACTACTGGAAGCTGGCACATGAGGTTTCAGGCGAGGCGATGGTGGCAACATCGAATCAAGAGTAGTACTGTAGCCATTGTCTTCGCTCTTAGCCTTCCCAATTCAGACAAGGGGGTGCTATGTTTATGTAGAGAAAGGGTGGGTCGGCTGGCAACACTGCAAGCTATGTCAGAACTACCCACACGTGGTCATGGCCTGTAAATGCAAAATATCTTCAAGGCTGCTGGATCATGTCATGCGCTGCCACTCCATCCTCGGCCCAGATTTTCACTCTGCAGTTCTTGGGCCAAATCACAGCTGACTGGCCGTTGAAATGAAGGTGACATGCTTGGCATTCCGTCAACGAGGATTGAGAACATGGGTCCTGACATGTCCTGACGATTGGACTATATATATATGCTACTATAGGTTTGGGTGAGCTAGCAGCTACTGTAGATCCAAGCAACTCGTCTTGAAGGATCGCATCGGCATGATTCCCCCATGCGTGAGGCGACCCCTTTTTTGGAGTACTGTTTCAGTACTCTTCACCCGCTGAATCCAGGCCACCTTGGACCCGATGGCTGGGGAACAAGATGGAACAAGCGGCTGACGGCATGACAGGTAAGTTGTGGGGAGGATATGAAGGAAGGATAAGAAAAAGAGGACAAAATGTGATGAGATGGATAGAAGAAAATGAGATGGTGGCACGAGAGACTAGGTGAACATGAGAGGAGAGGAGACAAAAAAAATAGCACAGTAAACAAATGTGCTGACGTGATGAAGGTGAAGCTGATCGATGCTGCGGGAAGAACTGCATTTGCGGACAGAGGAAGCTGCGAGATCCCAGGTCTTAACAAACAGAGTCAATCCTGAGTGGGTGAAGTGAGGGTTGGTCTCATCACGCTATGATGCTTTGAGGTGCAACATGGTGAAGACGGTCCACAGTCTTACTCCGCAGGTGGGACGGATTTCAGCTGGCACACATTTTTCACTGGAGTCTCTGAAGCGTGCGCCATTTTTGACGACTTTGCCACTAGCCCGCTGAGCAGCACAGTCACTGAACAACACAAGGGTCGGGAGAGTGCTCCTCTGAAACCCGGAAAGCAGCAAATTAACACAAGCTTCATGGGCGTGCCAACAGTCAGTTTCCTGCCGAGACCACCCAAGTCTTGCGTCAGGCAAAGTGAATGCAAAGTGATCAGTCTTGTCTTGGTGCAAAGAGGATATATAACACATAAACGGACCCAAAAGGAGATGCTCAACACCACCCCCCAAGGCAAAGCCCTATTCACAAAAAACAACAACAATATCGGTGTATCGTGGTGTTGCTTGTGTTTAGCGGTGGCGGTGTTGAATGCATCAGCCAGTTGCTTGCACTGCGCAACAAAACCCTGCCATTTGGACAGGTCACGACACACCACAGGATCTTGATTCGTTTGGGATTTGGAGGACCAGGTGTCCACAAAGCTCGGTGAAGTCCGGGCAGAAAGGCTGATTTGAGTAAATCACCGTGCCACCCACTACAACTAAACTTGTTGTTGGCTGTTGGTGAAGCATCATCTTTCTGCTGCCCCTTAAAGGGTATTTGACAATGCTTGGTGGTTTATGTGGGTAATCGGCACAGTCCTTTCTGCCTCCGAGGCTTTGGCTCTCTTCATCACCGGCTGCGTCTTCCAGCCTGGCTCCTGGATCGAGCATTCACGATCGATGCCGCGATGCCGCGAGAGTATAGCGAAGGGCTCCAAGAAATGCAAGTGCGCGAATGCTCACTCCGAGTGTCCATGCACAGTACACGCGCGTTCCCTCCCCCTGTACTGGCTTCAACCAAAGATGGAGAAAAAAAAACTCTGGACTTGTCACGATATGTCACAGCAGTCCTCGTCCCATCTGTGACGTTGTGCCCAATAATTTTGCCCAATACGGCTGCTGACAAGTACAAAGATGGTTATACAAATCCTGTACAACATGGCGGAATGCAAACACCGCTCTTAGTATCGGGATCCAAGGAAAATCATGCACTAGGCTGGCGCAGGTGCAAGAACTTCACCCTCTAGGCCGGGCGTGTTGACTGGAGAGAATATGCTGTCCCCTCCAAGTGGTTGGACACGCACAACCTACAGGGACACAACAACATCTTGACCCACTGTTCGGACATTGAAGGCAAGGTTGTCCAAGAGCCCTTTGACGAAATTGCGGGCGAAAGGATGTTTTGCCGCCTCCTCCTGCAAGAGCCTGTGCCTGCCGCCATGGACGTGGGCAAAGACCGGTCCATAGTCTGCATGGGTGCAACAAGGTATATTAGGATATATAATAGCAAAAGGATGCCAACATTTGAGAAAGAATAACAGCTCATGAAAACTCTATCAGAACGCTTCATGCATCTGCGCCTGTCATCTTCATCTGGCACTAGGAAGTGCTCAAAAATTGTCTGCTTCATTGCATCGCGCTTGGCCCTCCTTGGGCGCACATAGTCTTCCGGCTTCGGATGATGTCGAAGATGGGCAAAATCACCTCGGTCACTACGCTGAAAGAGACGCAGAGCGAAGCTTGTTGAACTCTCAGTCTCACGGCGTAGGCCGAATCGACGGAATGGGACAAAGCAGTTTCGGCAAGATGAGGTACAGCAGAACTTTTTGAGGTTCATTGAGGATGACAATGCGAGGTGACGTCGGATCTTGCTGTGCTCCAGGACTGGCATGAAATGCACTGAAATTAAAGCAGCTCACGTCAAGAGTTGAAAGGAAGGGACAGAGTGAGAAAGAGAAGGTAGTATGCCCCTCCCGCACTAGCGATACCATAGCATTTCCCAGGTCAGCCACTACTGTATGAGCCGCTGATACATTGCAGAGCAGTATGCATTAGCCAAATTGCTAGGTGCTGTGCTTTGCGGCCAGGGCATGGCCGTGCATGCTAGTGAAAATAACTATATATTCTTTTTCAATTGATCCTTCATGTATCCTGCTGCTGAAATTCTCCCATAGAGTCTGAAATGTGGTGCCCGAGTGCCCTGCTATCTACGGAACTCACGCTCCCAAAGACGCCGTGGGCTGCTACAAATGTCCATGTTTTGTGAAGGGTGGGGTGCCGACCTTCAGCATGCCCCTCCGGTCTACTGGAAAGGTCAGGGAGGGGGAGGAGGGAGATGAGATGAGGCTCAATAATATTTCAATAACTAACAGTAAGACGGTAAGCTAAGCAGTTAAGCCTATGAACACATGAGTGTTACCCTAATGAGCTAAGTTGAGTTTCCAGCGGGGAGCAGGGGAACTGACCAAGCGGGGGGGTTAAGGAACTCTTTTCCTCTTAGGAAAAAACCGCTCTTGTCACCATTTCTGTGCAATCTTAAAATCTAAGTTGAGCTCTTGAGCAAGTGGAAAAGCGTACAACATAAACAAGTGTTCGTCTTATCTTGCATATGCCAAACTTTGGAACGCCCACCCAGTCACAGTTCGCCCTGGCGCAACCACGAGCTGAGACCCAGAAAATGCAAGGTGTACAGGATCCACTTTGGATGCCACCTACATCCCTGGCCTGCACTGGCTCCTGGGTCGTGATGGGACGTTGATGTATATATATATATCTATATCTATATCTATGTGTGCGTGCATTATATACAGTATATAACTGCAATTATTCTCCCGATACAGGACATGAGCACTAGACTCACTAAACCCCCCCAAACAAGCTCTTTGAATCAATCCTTCCAGGCCATTGGCTACAGAAACCCGGCAGTGTTGTTCTCCTAATTGACGCCAAATATGGTGGTGCGAATCAGCTTATTAGTGGCACTCGAGAGGTATCTTCCAATGGTGCAGTGTCCTTCTAGGTGGCAACTTAACTGGAACCCGAAACGGCACGTCCAAAAAATGTTTTCTACTTAGGTGGCCTGGCAAATTAATGACTTTCTTCAGCTAATGATGTTTCTTGTCATCGCAATTATCATGGCATTGAAAGTCTGGTATCTTCTCACAGGACCTACAAAGTATATACCTTTTAGAGAGGCACTTCCTCCAACTAGCACAACTTCCTCAGTAAATGCGCAACCTCGAGCACTTGTCAAACACTCAGGTGTCCTCACTCATGCTGCTGGCTTTCGTCATGGTTGGCTTCATCTATCAGAATGCCCAAGTTCAAGCAATCCTGATTCTGCTTGACAGCGGGCAAGTGTATTGGAGCAAAACGCTTTGGGCCAGAAGGGTGAGCGTACAACGGTCTGGAGTGGATACCACGCAATAGTGGGATTGCTAAAGTTGAGAAGGAATGTCATAATCATAGGGCAACACCCACCATATGTCCATTACAGTATATATATATATGCAAAGAAGGTTGCCTTGAAATAGCAAAGGTTTGCTCAAGATTCTACAGTTGGACTCCAACATTGTGGCAATTGAGGCTTTGTCTTCTATCTGAATCATACACAAACAGGGTCCCGCAAAAACAATGGGTGTGACATGATGCTTTGTCAAGTCTTAATTACTTGGAGGGCCCTGAATTCAGTGGACAAGAAAATACCATGCAAAAAGCATGTACAAGTTGTCTACAGTGATCACACCAACTACCCTCCCTGTTTTCAACCACACCCGCAGAAGAGCCAGCAAGTGCAGCTGAGCTGGCAGCACCAGTGGTGCAGGCCAGAGTCGGCCAGGTCGGGAATTGCTGAACCCAACACAAACAACACAGTACGCAGTGCAAGTTTCTTGGGCGTGCCAACGGACAGTTGCGTGCCGAGACCACCAAAGACTTGCATCAGCTCAAGTGGACGCAAATGGGTCCAAGTCGATTAAAAAGAGTTTCAGGAAACCAATGCCCATGGCAAGATGTGGAATTCTGCACCACAAGGTGACTGCCGAAAAAGATGCAGTATATAGTAAAAGAGCACATGCAACATGTAGCAAATGATTGGTGGGTATGTTGGTGTTGAATCGGTCAGCCACGGGCTACACCACGATCCGCGGTACAGATTTCTCTTGCTATTCATGAAGCTTGCTTGAAACTTGAAACGCAAAGAACCAGGTGTCCACACAGCTCTTGATGAACTTCCAGCAAGAGGGTACCATACAACTTATACGCCAATGATTCTATAATCGTCCCCACTTATATACAGTAATTGTTTAGCTCTGTTCATCAATAAGGCAGCGTCTTCCAAGCCCGGCTCCTGCATCAGGGTAGGCGGTCATTGTTCAACATGAAAATTGATGTCAACTGATTCCAGTCAAAAGGCTTAAAATTAAGCATGCATAAAACTGTTGTTCATTCATTCGTGTCCATTGGAGGTGTGCGGTGTGCTCGAATTGTGTCAGGCAACCAGATGGCGACTGGTGTCGCCTCTTGCCTAAGCAATCCCAAGCAGGTTCGGCCCCAGGCCTGTTCGGGCGTTCGTTCTCCCCCCCCTCTCTCTCTGTCATATCTGCCATGCTCATCTCGCTGTGTTGGCTCTACGGTCCGAGACCTTGAGCATCCTTTGAGCATCAATGACCTTCCTCCATTGCTATTCGGTTGGAGGCCACCGCTAGCAACTCGGAAGCTGTAGTGCTGAAAAAAGAAAAAGAGAGAGAGAGAGAGAGAAAGAGAAGAAAAAATGAGAAAACATCTGCGAACATCAACAAAACATGGGCCGACGGGAGCATCCATGAGCTGATGATCGACAGCCGTGCAGCACATGCTTCTCCATCATTTTGCGGGGCATCATTCCGATTGCATTCAAGCAAATGTTGGCTAAAGATGAAACACCTCAAGCCTTAGCAACTAAGTAGATGCAACTAGCAATGGGACCACTTTAGGAGAAAGGCTCTTAGCAAATCTCTGCCTCTTGGCTTCGCGAAATGCCGCAAGTTCTACTGGTCGCGTGCTATCCCTTACACTTTCTTTCAAGATGGAGTCAACTTGGCATCAACTTAGAGTTTTTGCATCGATAAAGCATGTCATCTCCTGGCACCTTGGTGATTTATATACTGTTGCGTGTCCATTATCATCGGTGTGCAGGACTTCAAGGGAGCTGGCTAAGGGTGTCTATGTGTGTGTGTGTTATCATCCTGCCACAGCAAAAGGGCAGAAAGACATCTTGCAGCTTTATGTGCATCTCTTTCCCTGGGTTTCTTCTCACTCTCCCTCCGTCTTACTTACTCCTTCATTGCTTCTCTGCTCACTTCTGGAGATCCAGTACTACGGCTTCAATATAGGTCGTTCAACAAGCCTCAATCAACACCACATGGAGTGGCCTGATCACCACACCTAGCTGTATCCTTTCAATCGCACAGTATGCGCAAGTACATGGCACTCCAATTCCAGGAACGACTGAAGCTCACAATGGAGAATGCGCTCAAACTGAGTAAAGAGATGACAGAGAGGCATGTAAAACATGTAACGACCTGTCATACTGCTGGGCGCAGTATGCTTCATGTTGCAAAGGTGATGTATTGGGAACCTAGATGCACTCTAGGGTTATTCCTAAGGACCTTGTTTTAAGAAAACACCACCACCACCACCACCACCACAACAACAACAACAACCAGAACAAGATAAAATTTTGTTCCAATCAGCACTATATGTACGCACGATTACGTACGTATGTAAGCAAAACTGGGCACAAATTAGAACTGAAAAAAAAGCAGGGGTTTCCCGGTTAATATGCACAGCCTTGGCTTCCTCAGAGTAAGTTTCAAAAGATCGGTCCTTCTTCTCACATCGGCAGGCTGGTGGGCAGTAGTGAACGCTAGCCGCCAGTAAGTGAAGCACTGGACCAGACATCCATATACTGTACACGGGTGATTAAGAAAACTGCTCACTCGCTCGAGGGAGTGGAGGCTGAAGGCCCCTATTGCGTGTTTACTTGAAATCAATCACTGGTCTGGCATGCAAACCCAACAGCTCCTCAGACCAGTTCTCTGGGACTGTGGGAATCGGAACAAAACCAAGCTCGTCCGTCGGTCGGGCGAGTTCGGAGAACTCGACTAAACAGGCGACCTACAAGGACACAACAAAATCTTGACCCACTATTCGGACATTAAAAGCCGGGTTGTCCAAGAGCCCTTTGACAAAGTTGCGAGCGAAGGGATGTTTTGCAGCCTCCTCCTGCAAGAGCCTGTGCCTGACGTGGACTTGGAACGACTGGCATTGCAAGTGGCAAGCCCACCGTTGGCCGAAAGAATCTTTGTAAAGAATCATGCTCATACATGTTCATACTTCTTCCGTTGTGCCTCTCACGTTCATCCTGGATTAGAAAGTACTCGAAGATCTGCTGCTTGATGGCGTCTCGCTTCGCCCTCCTGGGGCGTTCATTGCCCTCCGGCTTTCGATGATGGAGATGGCAGAAATCACCTGGGCTAAATCATTTTTCTGTTTGAGTAAAACATCGACAAAAAAATCGCTAGAATCACTCAGAATAATCTTGCGAACCGTCCCCCTTTGCAAGGAAATCGGGAAACCCGGGACAATGCCGATCAGTTACACCCCCCGTTTGTGCAGCCACGAGCTGAGGCCCAATAAATGCAAGGATTGCAAGTCCCGCCACAATTGGAAGGCACGTTCGGTGCAATGTCAACCGCATCCTTGCAGGCCAGGCTTGTGCCCGACAAGATTGACGATCGAACAAGGCCGAACTCCCCTCACTAAAGTGACTACCCATAGAAACACATCACTGATGGAGAATGCTCGTCATTCCTCACTTGGGCATGTGCTTGCAGTCCGCAAGCACACATGACGAGGTCATGCAGATTTATTCAACTCCCATTTAGGGTGAAACAGCAAGAGGCAAGAGTAGTTAAAATCTGCTATCGGCATGTTGGCGAGCACCCGCCAGTCCTCACTTGGTCGACTTCCTTCTGCATGATCCCCATCCATCGGTTCGAAGCTCCCACAGTGATACGATAGTGCTTCAGAACAAGACATCCTCTGCAACGGGGCATGGGACACTAATATGCAAAGGATTACCATATATACATGTTTTCACTAGGGAATGTTGAGGGGTCTGGTCTGTTTTCTTCAGAGTAGCTCAAGATTCCAGCGGGCCAGTTGTTACAGCGACAAACGCTTGGGCCAACAGTGCAGGGCAGCCATACAACAAACTAAGTTCCAACCATGCACAGGCAGGAGTCTGCAAAGGTTCCGTCTATGCAGCTCGCTACTGCGCTCCCTGGCGCCATGAGCTTGGAGATTTCATGGGTGCAAGTGGCGGCCGCCTGCTTTCTCCTTCTGAAAGAGCCAGAAACTATTGAGCCACCTCTTTAATTCCAAGGTGAATTCACAGGCGCAAAGACTTTGCAATTGGGAAGTTGCATCTTTGGCAAACTCATTGGACACTGGGAGACGATCTCTTCTTATACAAGTCAACCCTGCCCAAATGCCCAAAAAAAGGCTGAGGCACTGCGAGTTCAAACTCTCTACAATGTACTTCAGCTTCTCCAGTTGAGCTTCAACGTCCAGCCAAATCTTAAGTGAAGCAGTCAAGCTTTCCAAAGTCAAAACCTCCAAGAAAAGCCACTGCATGGCCCTGCGCAGGTCCGAGATGAACCACGAAATATAGCCCCAAACGACGTCCACACAATTAGGTCGTGAAACACTTGGTCATGATCCATAGCACCCTGGTACCCAACTACTATCCAAGTCATACTTGGTGCTTCGATCGTCCCCAGAAGCGGTCCACAGGTGTTCAACCATGGTCACCTCAGAGAAAAGAATTAAAAACAAAACAAAAACAAGTTGAGTCACCACGTCATTATCCATAAATGACACATAATCAAACCACTTCATTCACCATAAACAAACCATCAATAAACAATCAATAAACCATAAACAACTTCATAGAGAAACCACAAGCAAAAGGCTGCATTAACCACAAGCAAACGATCAACCGAAACATTCCCGCAAATAGACCCATCAATCGACCACCACATTCACCACCTCATCACCACCGTCCCCCACCATTGCACCGTCCGCACCTCCGCAGCGGACTGTCGCTTTGCAGGCTGCCAGGCCAACATGGGCAACAAAAAGTTGCACATCTGACGGCGGCCAAGCGCCTTGAGGAGTGGTCTGAACATGGGGTCTCACAATGGTATCACCATGGTACGACCATGGGTAAAATTGCATAACCATGGCATAATGAACGGTATAACTTAACACATTGACATGGGTATAAAATGGGAAAAAACAGCAGGTAGCCGCGGCACGACTGTTGTCTCCCGATGATACTTGTATGCACAGCTATATCCTCTATATTAACACACACGCACACACACATCATACCGATATGCTGAGACGATGACCAAGTCGTGCAGTTTCTTCGCCAAGCCATGCGTAGAAGTCGATGGTGGAAGTCACCAAGAATTGGGTGCAACATCCATTGGGCCGCTTAGTTCCTGGATGTTCACCTACTTGGCCCACTTCAATATGGAGGTTGTAGTGAAACACTGTGATAGAGAAGTCGGTTTAACAGCTATATAAAAACTGCTAGTAAAACACTATGAAAAAGAAATCAGCTAAAAATACCTGCACAATTTTTCTACCCGTATTCAGCCGCCATCAATATGTATGTATAATCTCATGGTTCTTCCCCACCTGTCAGGTGAGGGTTGTTAGATCTTTATAGATAGTCTTCTTCTGCCTCCCTTCGTCATTCCACCACCCCAGACCTCAACAGCAAGCTCCAAGTCGCAGTGGGCAGCACCTCAAGTACCAGTACCGGACCTCAACTTCACACAGACCACAAACACAACCCACAAACACACAAGCACAGCACACAACCACAACACACACAAACACAACACTTCGAACTTGGGTTTTCAGTTAGACTCGATTGCCACGATGGGA